CCCTCACGGTGAGCATGGCTTAGGTACCAAATAATACTCAAAACATGTGAGTAGCATCCCACTGCTCTTAAACCTACAATGCAGTTACAGCAATAACTTCCGATTGCGTCCCGCCCAATCATGTTTGGTTCTGCAACTATAAATATAAAGTTTTAGCGGAAAAATGGCGGGACTTAATTTTAGCATGAAGCAACATTGGGTTTATTTTCTTTAAACCATCTATTCTCTCTTGGGATACCTCTAGGGTATATATTGCATGAAAGCGGAAATTCTTATATTGAACAACACAATATGCTTGGGTCTTTCTTGTGGTCCTTCCGGTACATGTAAGCTCAAATCTCGAGCTTTGTCCCTGCAAACTTCACAAACTTCATTCATGGATGACTTCTGTAAATAATTTATTTCATGAGATGGCCATAGATATAAAAATAGTATTGATGAAATACAAATTAAAAACTAAGTTTGATAGATATAAGTTGTGCTCAACATTTTCAAGCGTGAAAGAAACACAAACAAGATAACGGGTAGGATATAGCGAGATTCCTGATTGAATTTGAGCAAGCTGGAGAATAGTTCTTGAGATACAATAATTGGTTTGCCTCCACCTTACAGAAAACCTTTGCCAAATAGCTATATCGTATATTTGTTGTGTAAATAAGTTGTAGAGGAAAAAGGCTCTTTGTTGTTAGTAGAACCTACCTCATGAGTGTCCCAGGTTTAGCAACATTTAAGAGTAATGCCCTTATTATTATATCAGGACGTGGATCAAAACACACATTATTACGTTTTCGTATTGTGACATTGTATTGTATCTCTAGTGGGAGATCTTCAGCTTTTTTAGGTGATGAACGCAGTTTTTTTTTCTTTGGCTCATGCCATTTCTGTTTGTTTTCCTAATACGCTATTCAGAATACTCCTTTAATAGTAAAATTGCATAACGTACACAAGCTGTATGCTTACAAACTGCCTTTGGCCCTTTACCAGCAGCGCACTCACACATAGACTGAACAATTTTTCCATCTGATTCAAAGGCAATACTCAAAAAATATGATAATGCTTTCGTGTTTTCAGAGTGGACCTGTCATTTATAAAAAGTAAATTATTTTGTGTGCATGTCACTAGAGCCACTAAATATTCATTTATCATCATATTATAGCCTTTTCTGTGAACTGCAGTATGCTCAGTCATTCCCACATTGTCTTTGTAAACCTCTATAAAGTAAGTGGTAATATTCACTATATCCAAGTTAGGTGATACACTTTCCGATGTTATACTGCTATTCAAACTGTCTGGAGGCCCCTCAACAATATACGCCAAATCATTTTGTAGTATTTCGTCTTCTACGTTTCTATTAAAATTATTATTTCTATCATAGTCCTTAAATATTTAAAAAGAAAACATTGCTATAAACTCGGTAAATAAGCATAATTTTGACAAAAATGTATTTGTAAATAGTAAACAAACTAACATACATATTTGCCATAATTAATCTCAGGAATTGCAATATATTCACAATATTATTCTAAAAAGAAATAAAAACACGTAGCCCACCTACTATAACAGTGACATTTGACGTATCGGCGTCGGCGACCCCACTCTACACTAGCGGCTCTGGCGGTGAATTTATACGCGATAGCCCTCATTGCGTTTAGTTTATGCTTATATTAGGTTTATTTATTAAAATCTTTTTATTGATATTATTAATTAATCCCAAGTTCTAAAAATATAAAACTTACATGAAAATTAATAGATTAGTTGTGTTACGGCCTTCAGTTGCCCCGACAAAAGTCTACTGGGCTAGGGCCCATAGTAACCCAACTCGACGAGCAACCGAGGGGAGGGCCCAAATGGTCTTTGGATAATTAATTTATAACGGCTGTATAAGCAAACACAAACTTACCGAGTTCCGGAGGTAGGGTCGACCACAAGGTGCCGTCAGGGGCAAGTAAATGGTATACGTGAGTGGTGTAGGAAGGTGTGTAATGTAACCTGACGTCACCGATATAAGCGGATAGCAGAACCACATACGTTGCCCAGCTCCACAAGGTGCAATCAGAGGGCGTTCGCCGTTATTGGAACTCAAGTCCAACGTCACTTAGCACGAACTATAATCGAAGAGAACGCGATCTCCTCCCAGATCATAAAGTTTAGCGTTCAACCGACAAAGCAAAATTCCTTCGTACGATATTAAAATACGACACAAGCCACGCGTCGACGCAAATTAATAGCAATCGAAGTTAAGTCAATCACTCAAAACTCAAGAAAAGCCTCGTTGTCACGTATATTAACGCAATAAGACAACACAAAGCAGGCCGTCGTAATGCGACGTAACGATTTTTACGTAACTCCCGACCTCTAATCAACACAGCCGTCGCGTACAAACGAATATTCTAGACTCATTTCGCGACCTTCCACCGACACGTCGTAGCGCGCAAAGATTCTTCCAGACTAGCTGGCACCGCCGTAGGCGCAAAGCGAATGCCCCCCCACCCCCTCCCCCCGGCGCAACCCGTCAAACCGGTTCCTCGCTCGGGACGAGCGTCTTGCAAGTTTCAAGTGTTATGATTAAGCTTAAACAAACCCCCGTCCCGGGCATAAGGACTTATGCCCGCGATTAAATTGGCAAACGTGATAGGGTCGCGACGGTACGTTGCAAGACCGAATCTCCAACCAAAACCTCGGCCACCCTAGGCATCCCATCCAGTCCATACGGCAACTTAACAATGCGCCCACGGTGCCAATACAAAGGCAAAGCGTTAGGTTCTTTAACTAACACGAGGTCTCCAACCCGAGGAGGATCCGTCTTGTCGGACCACTTAAAGCGCTGCTGCAAAAGATGTAGGTACTCCAGAGACCATTGGTGCCAAAAACTCTGAGTCATTTCTTGCAGCAAGTCAAATATGCTCAACCGCGAAAAGTTTGTTTCCCTAAATGGGTACTCGGGCAGGGCGTTAAAAGGCTGGCAAATCAGGAAGTGGCCCGGGGTTAGAACCTCCAAATCATTCGAATCGGACGAGAGGAGACAGAGGGGCCGAGAGTTGAGTACCGCCTCAATTTTACAGAATACAGTGGCAAGCTCCTCAAATGTCAAATGTCAAAATAGTGTCGCCAACAACGCGACGGAGATGCGTTTTTGCAACCTTAACCACCGCCTCAAAAATACCGCCCCAGTGTGGGCAAGCCGGAGGGTCGAATTTCCACTGGATGCCCTTCTTGGATATCGCAGTACCTAAATAAGTCCTGTTACTGGACAGAAATTCGACGACCTCTTTCAAATATCTATCCGTGCCCTTATAATTCGTTCCGCAATCAGACCGGATCAGGTCCGGCAAACCGCGACGCGATACGAAGCGGCCCAGCGTGGCTACAAAGGCTTCAGTGCTGAGGGCACTTAGAAGCACTAAGTGAACGGTCTTAGTGGCGAGGCACATGAAGACGCACAGATAGGCTGTGGTGTTCTTCTTTGGGTGTGCTCTGCCTCGGGGGGCTGGTATAGAAATAAAAAAAAGAAAAAAAAACAGAAGAAAAATAATATGTCTAATTTTAGCTGGAAGTTAAATTTATTTTACAGATAGGAACGGTCGGATGGCCCTGACGCGGTCGGGTGGTAAGTCATCCATCATAGGCTGCGATATGGTGGCCTTCACAAGGTATGCACTTAAAGAGGACGCTCCGAATGGTGCGTCGGCCAGCCAAAATCCAAAACTCCCGCTTGTCCCCTAGGAGCAGGAGGCTCGGCACCTCCGATACCTATCATTGGACGTGATTCAGAGCTCCAGGAGAGCCCTAGTCTTCCCACCAACCAAGTGGAGGCCATATAGCGTTGTGAACCCGAATCCAATAGAGCGCGAACCGTTAAACAGTCGCCACTCGGGTTGTACACATTCACTGAGGTCGAACCTTTCTTCCCCATCGGTTATCGGTTTGGCTGTGTCGGTCACTATGGTTTTACTGCGGATATGCCCATATCTGATTCTATCATCATTCAACACGCACTGGTTGTACAATCTAGTTTTCAGGTCTTGAGGTATATCTGACGAGAAGATGTGTCGTAATTTTCCGAACGCTGCCTTTGACTGTTTGATAATACTTTGTTACTATGTTTAGTTTCGTCGAACAAGTCCTTATAAGTCAAACGCTGATGGTATCTTCCACTGAACATGGGGATGTCTTTTTTTGGGGTTGTCTTCTGCTGGTAAAGATCAGACCATACCTTGCTTTTCATAACTTTCTTGATGTTGTTGTATTTTAGCTCATAGCTGCTGAAAATTTCTTCATACTCTTCATTATATTCGTAAGGTACGCTGTCTCTTTCCCTGTGCAAGGCGTATACTATCGTCCAACTTGCCTAAACTGACTTAATAATAATCCTTTATTTTAGAAACTTTAAGAAGGCTACAGATGCAATGCCATACCTGAGAAATAAAATGGAATGTCTATCTATGTATAGCTTCTTATTATATCATATAAATGATTACACATTTAACTTTTGCCCGTCGGCGGAAAATAGTAGATCTTTCGCCAGGCAAGGCTTTCAAAGTTTTCTGTAGAATAAGGGTGAAAATCGAACACACTGTCCATCTGATATAAATAAGATAATGTGGCCCTTAAGAGTCCACATCTACCTTTGATTTAAAATCGAAATGCAGATGCGATATCACCTCTAAATAGTAAGGTAGAATGCAGTTGGAAAAAAGAGAAAGAAAAGACCATTGAACCATTATGTACGGATCTGATTTTGTATCAAATTATTTTTACTTAAGTGAATAATTTTATGCGTAACATTATTTAATATTATTATAAGATAAAAAATAAATGCACGGTAGAAAAAATACCAACCAATTTGTTTAAATATTTATATTCTAATGTTGAATTAAATTTACATTAAGGATACATCAATACCAATTTATTAAATTATTATATATAATTATAATCACACCGTACATAAATTCACCATTTTTATGTCTAAAATAAAAGATGACAAGCGATATTAGAAAAAATTAAAACTTAATTTTTGTATAGTTAGACAAAGTTCCATTATAATTTAGGTCGGCATCATCTTCGTTGTCTATATTAAATTGTAGAAGCACCAATTCATATGTTATAATAGTCCCAATAACCTGAAAGATAAAACCTTTTAGTCGCTTGAAGGTATTTTATTTTGGGCTACATATTTCAAATTTCCTTACATGAAGTAAAGTGCTACGCGTCACATAGAAGTACACTCCACTTAAAGCTGTCGTGGTGTAACGAATCTGACGGTTGAATCGCTGCACCTGAAAAGAAATATTACGTAACGTGCAGTAGCTCAGCAATATGAATCTTGTCTATTTTATTATTTAGTTTACGGCAACAATTTTTCATAATAAATTTTGTAATAAAATACTGCTTAAAGGATGATTCACGGTATACCGTGTCGCGACTGGGCCGGGCCTCGGCCGAGCACCGGCCCGGACACGGTCCAACGTCTTAGATATAATTTCTGTGGATATTGATTCCCGGATCCGACTAGACCCAGCCTCGACACAATGTAACATGAACGTGGACGCCGCGCCGGGCACCCGCAGGGCAGTCGACGACAAATCTTTGAGATGCGGCATGAATGTTGAACGATGAAAAGTTGCTAGAATGTGTGCTCAAGTATTATGTAGTTTACGAAATGATCCATCCTAAGTATTTGAATAATAAATACAAGAATATTATTTGGAAAACAATATCAATTCAAGTTGTGAAAATTGTGGAATTTCCTGTGAAAATTCATTAGTTAAAGTTTAGTAACTATCTACAATATTGCATGTAACATGTAACTCATTACACTAGAATATTTCATGCTCAGTTTTATAGATTTAATTATCCAGGTATTGCCATGCATTGACCGTTAAGAATATCTACTACCTCATATCCTCCCGTGGGTGTCGTAAGAGGCGACAGAGGGAGACAGGCGGGAAATTAGCAGCAGCATCTTCCTGATAACAACAACTATACAATAAAAAACTGCGGTTGCCAAATCGTTCGCCAAGCGTGGAAACTATGGCAAACATCCCATCATAAGCAACGACACAAACAATCGGCAGACTCACTATTTTTGCACATGGTGGCGACCATGTTAACGGAGGGGCAGAGGCTGCTAAGAATCTCCGGTAGATGTTCGGTTGCCACCTAAGACGACTCAACCTGGCAACATACAACGCACGCATCCTGAGGACTGACGAGAAGATGCTGGAGCTGAAAAAAGAGGTGGACAAGTTGCGCTGGCATATTATAGAATTATTCGAGATCCAAAGAGAGAGGGGATGCGGGAAGCCCGGAATCCGGCAACTTGTTCTATCACCGGAAGGGTGACCATCTGTCTCAAGTAGGTGTCGGATTTATCGTCCACTTAGATACTCAGAATCACCACACGGTATTCGTTGAAGGTTATACAGGTTTACGCGCAAACCTAGGCATATCCCGATCAGGAGGTGGACGAAAGGTGACAACGTTCTCTTGAAGAATTATGGACCAATTTTCCTTCTGAGCCGCATCTACGTTCTGTTTACGAGAGGCAATACTAGACGTCTTGCTCATAGACTAGATGACTTCCAGCTTTCCGAACACGTCGGTTTCCAAAAAGGCCTTAGTACCATAGACCATTTGCTACTTTTCGTAGCGTATTTGGACTATGAGAAAGCCTTACATGACGTTAAAATTTGGGCGGTGCAACAGTTCTTTCAGCGGTGCCAAGTTGACTGTCGGTATATCGAAGTGCTGAAGTATTTGCACAGTAGGGCGACGATAGCGGTCCGAGTACAGAAAAGAACCAGAGCACGAAACAGACTGTAGAGAGATGTAAGACCGGGTCTTTATATTTCGGACACTTTATATTTTTTATAGGATAGGGGGGGGGTAAACGGCCCACCACGTGATTACCGCCGCCCATGAACAACAGCAATAACAGGGGAATTGCAGATGCGTTGCCGGAATTTTAAAAAGGATAAGGCTCTTTTTGATGGCCCCTAAGACGTAACGGTCCGAAAAAATGTCTGCTGGTAGTCGACTCCATAAGGAAGTTGTGCGAGAAAGTAAACTTCTTTTAAATAGCACAATGGTGGACCTTCAGTCATCCAGATGGTATGGATGGTATCGCGAGTTTTATCGCGATGTGGGATGGCGAAATTTTGCGGCTGGACTTTGTCCGAACAATTATTCGGAGCACTCCACGTGGTAAATGCGAAAAAATACGCAAAGAGATGCAACATCTCTTCGCAGTGCCAGTAAGTCAAGCCAATTGGAAAGAGCTCCATCGCTGAAGATTCAAACAGCTTTGCACTGGATTTGATCAAATGGAAGGAGCTGGCACTGGGGAGCCTCAGCCCAGAGAAAGGAACAGTATTCCATGTGTGGCCAGACCTGCCTCGCCTCGTAAAGTTGAAAGTGGTTTGCCGGCAAGAAATACTGTCCCGCTCTGCTGAAAATACCAGACTTTTAAAGGCCAATTGGGCTTTCTCTTCCAAATGACCACAAAACTGCAGGTAACTCAATATGTCGACGTAGATAATTCTGATTCTGGCTGAGGAAACAAGGGCACTCCCCTTGTTGCCTCAGCCAGTATTTTGCAACCTTGAAACTGAGGAGATACGACGAAGGGATTCTTTTTACTCGCCCTCAGTCCGAGACTTCGTTCAACAAAGTTCCGACTTCAGACACGAGTTTGTCCCGATACTCGACGTAGTTTTCCCGAGAAATATTTGTTCGGCCAGTGTATAAAGCATCACCAGTGTTGATGTGCGCATAGCAATGAATATTACCGCTTTGCAACATGTCAAAAGAAACAGCGTTGGTGATAGCACGCAGCCTTGTGGAACACCAGCGTTAATGGGCTTGTAATCGGAGCATGCACAGTCTACAACGACTAGATGCTCCGATATGCAAGAAAACAAGTGATCAAATTTCAAAATTACTCGGGAAGCCCATAGGAAAGAAGCTCTTTGTGTAGCGCTTTGTGCCAAACCCGATCGATGGCCTTCGCTGTGTCCAAACTAACGACCATTGCCCTCCCCTTGGACTCTACTGCCTCCGCCCATTTACGAGTTGGGAACCCAGAAGATCATCAGCCGAGCGACCGCGATGGATACCGTACTAGCGGTGACTAATCAGCTAGTGATCCTCAAGGCACCGCGTGAGCTGGTTGTTAACAACGGACTCTATTGTTTCTGAGAACAAGGAGGTGATAGCAATAGGCTTATAGTTGGTCGGATCGGATCTATCACTTTTTTGGGGATCAGGTGCACGAAATCTGTCTTACATGATTTCTGCTTAGTCCCTAGGTAGTAGGGCTACCTGAAGTCACGTTAGCACCGGCACAGCACATCTGGGTCGGCGTTGTATTCCTCCGTTATTAAGAGTCGAGTTGGACGCAAAAATAGAGCTCAGCAGATTGACTTTGTCCTTTGCGGCATGGACCAGTGAGTCGTCCTCCTTGTAATATGCCCAACTTCTTCAAAGAAAAGTTGTCATCTTAACATAAGCTTTTATGGGTTAAAGTCCTGTGGGTGGGTGAGGTCTCATGAGACCGCTAGGGATTTGACGGAATATAGCCGCAGGCTCATGAGCCCACTAGGGGTTTGAGAGGTTAAAGAAGTATGATTCCGCCTCCAGGTCCTTTAAGAGTGTCATTGTAAAGGCACAGTCAGAGCAAATCGGCAGAATTGGCGAGAAACTAGATCGTCTTCTTGGGGAACACGTGCATAATTCCGATACCAGAATGGTATCGGAATTATACTTCTTTAACCTCTCAAACCCCTAGTAGGTTCATGAGCCATATGATTGATGGCGGTCATATTCTGTCAAATCCCTAGCGGTCTCATGAGACCGCACCCACCCACAGGACTTTTACCCACAAAAGCTTATATTTAGAGACTACTTTTCTATGAATAATTTGGGTATTATAAGATCAATGTGAAACTTCCTATCCTCTAATGCAATAAAAAGTAGTAAGTCTACGTTTTTTTATTAATAATCTACGTTCATTTCTTACGCCTGTTAGGTGTGGCGTGTTATTGTGTCGATTTTTGGATTTTTGTTGTGTGTTATTAGTGTTTAGTATGGTGTTTTATTATGAAATTGGTAAAAAGTTTTTGTGTGAATATAATTTATCTTTTAACGTAAATAATTTAGAGTAATATATAGATATAATAGTAAAAATGGAGCTACTGGCCTGCGCTGGATAAGTACTATTTTTATTATAAATATACAATTAAAATATATTTGTAATGAAGTATAAACACTGAAACTAGTAAAATGACATAATAAATAAACAGAAACAAGTATTATGTTGAAATTTATAATGAATATTATTGAAAACCTGAAGACGAAACTGTACAACCAGTGCGAGTTACTAGTGATGACTCATGGAACTGACGGGCGTCCTGGTCGCTCGGCGAGATATGCAGAGTGCTATGCTGGGGGTTTCTCTGCGTGATAAACTTAGAAATGAGGATACCCGCAGTAGAACCAGAGTTACCGACATAGTCCAACGGATTATTAAGCTGCAGTGGCAATGGGCCAGCCATATATCTCGAAGAACCGACAACCGATTGGGAAAAAGGTTCTGGAGTGGCAGCTTCGTACCGATAGGAAAAGTGTAGGGCGACCCCCTACTAGATGGAGTGACGACCTGTTAAGATATGCAGGAAGTTATGGATGCAAGTGGCTAGGGCCGTGCTTTGTGGCATTCCTTGGGGGAAGCCTGTGTTTAGTAGTGGATTTATGAAGGACTGTAATAATGATAACGATGGTCTATGTGTTGTCTTCATGGCTGAATATCGGCCATTCTGCAACTGAAAATCTAGTTAGTTAATTGAATGTTGTATGTAACACATCATAAAAAGTGGTTTGTAAATTAAACCAAGTGCCTTTATTTAACATCAATTTTTTTATATATCTAGGTGAGCACCAATGAGTGCAGTAAGATGTTATGAAGTAGATTTCATTTCATTCAATGTTCATTGGATTGCAGGAATAATATTTTTCTGATAATCTAATAGTGTTTAGTGGGCTGATTTTACAATATTTTAATCGTAATAATATAAAGATGAGAGAGCTCTTACATTTATTATTTATTTATTTTACAATTTATGTACACACAAACAACGGATAAACACGTCATGATGAAGTTTGCACAAGGGCGTACAATATGATAACTTACTTCAAGCGTGTATTCAGATGCGGGGACATATCCAACAACAAACATGGGCTCCTGTGCAGCTTTGTGTACGTTTGCTGCTAACAAACACACCAAAGTCGTTCTAATGATTAGAAACACGAAGGAGTATAGATAGTAAAATAGATGTACAGTGCTGTGAATAGAACTGTGGACAAAATAAAGTTTAATTGGTTGTAGGATACCTTTGGTGGATACCACCCTCTCAACTATTTATGTTGCCAAACAGTTGTGATTTAACAGCCGTGATATAGAAGGCCAGTATAATTAGAGGCTAAAATTGATTCCATTTTAACCCTCAGAAATGATACTACATCCTAACTAACTTCAGGGAAAGGGGTCTTAAAGTTAAGTTGCTCAAAGTTAATTGTTCTTTGGTAGCAGTAACCACTTACCATCAACTGGAAATTCGCTGCAGCTATATAAATTGTAAAGTTGTAGCACAAATTGGTCGGCTCGACAGGCGAAGGACTACGCTCTCACAGAATACTAATCTGAAATAGCAGCTAAATGTTGATGTGTTTTGCATGGTAAGTGTAGAGAACTGGAGACCCTTTTTACTGGAAAAGAGGCATTTTATCTTAGTCTCTACGGCTAATAATATATCTGCATTTTTATTAGGAAATGGGAATAGATGTAGACATCTATGGGCCTGTGGGCTATATTTAGATAACTATCCAAGTAACATACTAAGCATTTTAAAAAACTAATTGTGAACTGATGTAAAACTTAAGATCCGTGCAACTCTTATTAATTTACAATACACCGATTATTTTGACGCTTTATATTGTCATTTAAAACGCATTATGATTTTTTATACTATATAACGGCTAGATAATGGCATATCAAAGTCCTTTAGTACAAGCAAACTGCATTGCAGCTGTACAGCTTTCAACTATTTTTAGTGCATTTGTATCTACAGTAGCATTTTCAAGTAGTAAATAAATGCTTCATGCTGTTTAGTAGCGTAAACGTGAACCATTATAATTCCATGTAAATCTTCTATACAGCTTCCAACTGTTTTAAGTGCGTTAGGGGCTACAATAGCAATTTACTAGTAAGATACAGTAAGAGATTTCTATGCAATCTTCTCACAATTAATGCGACTAAAACATCATTTATGACTATATTATATGACTATATATTATATTTTGTGCAAAAAATAAAAAAATACCTATCACTGGTGTGTACCACTTAAGATTATTAATATTACTCTAAATAGATCTAAAAAGAAAAGTACCTAGGCCTATAATAGATGAAAACTGACATGGAACTCCCACATTGATAAAATGACATCAAAATTGGCATCACTTACAGGAGCATTACGAAATGTATTAAACTAACTATATGCCATACAAAATCAAAAATTACTATTTATAACGCCCTGAACAAGCCACATCTGGAGTATCTTATAGAGATATGGGGTTCGGACGCACAAAAACGAGCACAAAATAAACTAATAAAAAAACTATTTCATTACAGCTACCTAATGCCAACTAAGGAGCTGTACAAAAGAAAACAAATTTTTAAACATTAAACAATTATATACAAACAACACACGCTTTATTATTAAAAAAAATATCAAAAAATATATATTAAACAATAAAATTTACACCAAAGGACACATAACCTTAGAGACAAAAACGGTTTCAAATTTGGCAGCCTCGAACGAGATCTTATATCTGAGATCTTATGGCAATAAAAGTATAATGTGTATATTGCGGTCACATTAATTTGACGCATCGCTGGAATGCGAGGCCCCGTTCGCTAGCCCCTGCGCTCCATTAGCCCGCCCGGCAATCGTCAGTATGGTTAGCATCTCTGTTAAACTGTTGTAAATGACGTCATCAAAGCCATGCGTCAAGTTAATGTGACCGCGTTGTAAAGGTGTACTTTTACATAACAATGTACCGGATTATGTAATAATATAAAGCATTTTAAAAATAAGCTAAAATCATATGTTATAGATAAAATTTTATAACTGCATATTTTCAATTTTGAACATATTTTTGAATATATTTTTACATTGTATTAATAGAATAATAATTTTTTTTTTCAAAATATTATCATTTTATGAATGCATACATATGTTTAAATTGAGTAAATTAAAAGTGAAACAAATTAATTAAGACAATATAAAAAACAACGAAAGTTATATAGCGCATCCTACAGTGTAAATACTGTTAATATTATTTCTTATGTATACTTAATCTCTTTATAAGTGAACAATGTGTTCTTTATGAGAAATAAATGTCTTTAACCCGAACCCGAAGATAAAGCCAAATGCTGCTTAATAGCTAAACAACAACAATGCTAAACAGTATAAACGTGATCAATGTATTTGTATGTCTCAATCAATGTATTGTCTTTAACCCAACGAAGATAAAGCCAAATGCTGCTTAGTAGCTAAACAATAACAATGCTAAACAGTATAAACGTGAATCAATGTAATTGTATGGTTTGTAAGGCCACACATTTTTAAGAAATAGAGTTGTAGTTAGTTAATGTGGACGTCAAAAGGAAAACATCACCAAAGTTAAAAGTTTAATTAAAAAGTAAAATCGTTATAAAGTTAGAGTGGAAAATCTTTCCTTGAGTAGTTGGTGTTGAAGTTGAAGAAAGACGGTTTTTAACGCACTGCCGATTGTAAGTTTGCAATTAAATAAGTAAATTTAAGTAGCCGTGTAGTGGCGGTTAAGAATATCCACTACCCTATATCTTCCCGTATGTGTCGTAAGAGGAGATGGGCAGCAGCATCTTCCTAATAACAACAATAACATAATAAAAAACTGCGGTTGCCAACCCGCTCGCCAAGCGTGGCAACCATGGCAAATATCCTCCCATGAGCAACGACGCAAATAAACGGCCCCCAGTCCCCGGCGGCCCCGCTATTCCTGGCTACGGTGGTGACCATGGTAACGGCGGGGCAGGGGGTGCTAAGAATCTTCGGTAGAGGTTCGCTTGCCACCTACGACGACTCGACCTGGCAACGTATAACGCACGCACCCTGAGGACTGACGAGAAGATACTGGAGCTGGAAGAGGAAGGTAGACAAGTTGCGCTGGCATATTATTGGATTGTCTGAGGTCCGAAGAGAGGGGGAGAACACGATAATCCTCGAGTCCAGCAACTTGTTCTATCACCGAGAGGGCGACCATCTATCCCAAGGAGGTGTCGGATTTATCGTCCACAAGTCTCTCGTCAACAACGTTGTAAAGATTGGGAGTGTGTCGACGAGGGTCGCGTACCTGATACTCAGAATTACCAAACGGTATTCGCTGAAGGTCATACAGGTCTACGCACCAACCTCGGCACATCCCGATGAGGAGGTGGAGGAAATGTATGAGGATATTTCTAGAGCCATGCATTCCTCCAAAACCCACTACATGGTATTGATGGGAGACTTCAACGCAAAACTAGGCACAAAAGAAGGCGGTGAGGTGAAGTTAGGGAAATTTGGAGTAGGGCAACGGAACCGTAGGGGCCAGCAGCTGGCTGACTTTATGGAGAAAGAGGGACTCTTTATGATGAACTCTTTTTTCCAGAAGCGGCCCCACAGGAAGTGGACCTGGTCGAGCCCCGACGGTTCGACAAAAAATGAGATTGACTTCATTTTGACGACCAGACGCCAACTGTTCAGTGATGTCTCAGTGATCGCAAGGGTGAAAACCGGCAGCGATCACCGAATGGTTAGAGGCACACTGAACCTAAACGTTAAGTTGGAGAGGTCTCGTCTAATGAAGTCAACGCTCCGTCCCCCCTCGTGCTCTAATCCAGAATCCCGAGACTTTTCAGCTCGAGTTACGTAACCGCTTTCAGTGCCCAGAAGATTGCAATGCAGTGGACGATATGAATGACAAGCTCGTGGAAACTGTCCATGCGGTCGGAGCTAAATTCTGCAAGACCCGCCGCAGAAGAACACAAAAACTCTCCGATCACACTCTTAATCTCATGGCTGTTAGACGGGAGATGAGGCTGCAATCGTCAACGGATTTGACAGCATACAGGCAACTGAACAGACAGATCTCCAAATGCATGCGGCGAGACTTACGCAACTTTAATACTGCTCGTATTAAAGAAGCGATCGAGCGGAACCAGGGCTCCAAAGTTTTTGCCAGAGATATGTCTGCCAGAAAGAGCCAACTGTCAAAGCTGAAGACCTGAGATTTTGAGTGTGATTGAGAGGTTCTATGAGCAGTATGTACACATCATCGTTGAAGCCACACGAAAGTGTGAGTAACGATCCAAGAGCAAGTCTTACCCGACACTATTCCGATGATATCCGGGACGTCAGTCTGAGCGAGATTATAATGGTTCTCCAGCACCTTAAAAACGGCAGGGCCCCAGGCGAGGATGGAATTACAGCGGAGCTTCTGAAAGCGGGTGGAACACCGGTACTTGAAGCCCTTCAGAAGCTCTTCAATTCCGTCCTCCATGGTGGCACTACTCCAGAGGCGTGGAGCAGAAGTACAGTGGTCTTGTTCTTTAAGAAAGGCGACAACGCTCTCTTCAAGAACTACAGACCGATTTCCCTTCCGAGCCGCGTCTACGTGCTGTTTTCAAGAGTAATTACGAATCGTCTCGCACGCAGACTCGACGACTTCCAGCCTCCCGAACAAGCCGGTTTCCGAAATGGCTTCAGTACCATAGAGCACATACATACCCTGCGGCAGATTGTACAGAAGACTGAAGAGTACAATTTGCCACTTTGCCTGGCGTATGTGGACTATGAGAAAGCCTTTGATTCCGTCGAAATTTGGGCGGTGCTGCAGTCCCTTCAGCGGTGCCAAGTTGACTGTCGGTATATCGAAGTGCTGAAGTGTTTGTACAGTAGGGCTACGATGGCTATCCGAGTACAAAACCAGAGTTCCAAACCTACCCAACTGCAGAGAGGTGTAAGACAGGGTGACGTTATATCCCCGAAACTCTTCACCGCTGCGTTGGAAGACGTTTTCAAGCTACTGGACTGGAAACGATACGGTATTAACATCAATGGCGAGTACATCACTCACCTTCGATTTGCCGACGATATAGTCCTTATGGCAGAATCGCTGGAGGACCTTAGCACTATGCTCAATGACCTCAATGGTGTCTCCCAACGGATAGGTCTTAAGATGAACATGGACAAAACAAAGATCATGTTCAATGTCCATGTCACACCTATGCCGGTAGTTGTTGGGAGCACTATGCTCGAAGTTGTTGACGAGTACGTTTACCTGGGACAAATAGTCCGACTAGGTAAGTCCAACTTCGACCGAGAGGTCAATCGACGAATTCAACTCGGCTGGGCAACGTTCTTGTAATTACGACACATCCTCTCGTCAGGTATACCTCAATCTCTAAAAACTAAAGTGTACAACCAGTGCGTGTTGCCGGTGATGACTTACGGATCAGAGACGTGGTCCTTCACTGCTGGCCGTATGAGGACGCTCAAGGTCGCTCAGCGAGCTATGGAGAGGGCTATGCTCGGAGTTTCTCTGCGTGATAGACTCAGAAATGAGGATATCCGCAGTAAAACCAGAGTGACCGACATAGCCCAACGAATTAGTAAGCATAAGTGGCAATGAGCCGGCCATATAGCTCGAAGGATATGCTCGATAACCGATGGGGAAGAAAGGTTCTCGAGTGGCAGCCTCGTACTGGTAGGCGTAGTGTAGGGCGACCCACCACTAGATGGAGTGACGACCTGGTAAGACATGCAGGAAGTCGATGGATGCAGGTGGCTCAGGACCGTGCTTTGTGGCGTTACTTGGGGGAGGCCTATGTTCAGCAGTGGACTTGTGAAAGGCTGCTATGATGATGATGATGATGATGAAGTAAATTTAAATACACGCGACGCGCGGCTAAAATAGGTTGCAGCGTTTACTAAATGAAAATGTGTGGTGTAACCATACAGTAATGCTTGCATTTCTAAAAATCAACTGAGTTCTGTTGTACAGCTAACAGCTCTTTATTCAAATATAGGTGAGTTATTGTAATGCAAAAAGCTGTATATACATTAAGTGTATTCGTAAAACCATTTGTCGGCCATATTGTGGGGAGAAGCAATATAATATGCTCATGCTTTATTGATCGTATAATTTTTTAAGCGTAGCGGTCAAATAATGACATTATTTCACTCTACATCAAGTCTACTAGTATACTGATGAACCCATATAGAACTACTTTATAGACAATGGCACTGCAGTGGTTCATCAAAAAACTTTTCTCTGGCCTTTGACTTAATAATTGTTCACTTGTGAATATTTATACTGCTGGCGACTTTAATTAAACTTTTAAAAGGCTCACCGGGCTGTTATAGACGGACACCAATTTGGTAAATATTTTATAACCAAAAATATTATCTGTCGGAACTATATATAAAAGCAATAGACCTATATAGTAATGATATAACTTAATACTGCACAACCAATATTATTATGTTAATTATGCAAAATACATTCTTTATTATTCCAAGTACAGAATGAATTTTGACACAATTGTTTTGGTTATTTCACACACACACACAAAATATATATATATATATATATATATATATATATATATATATATATATATATATATAACATTTTATATCAAACCACAAAATATTGAAGGCGCGTGAATATTTTAGATGAAACTTATATAGACATTTACAGTGAACTACATTGCGCAGTAATATTTGAAGGCATGAAATAACAAAAAAGCCAAAAATTTTATAAATTTTATTTTACGGCAAACAATTATAGTCGTGTTGTTTGTATATTTAGTATTGACCGTCTTTTTTCATCGATATATTAAATTGCGAGACTTATTAAGTAGTTAAATTTACATTTAGTATTGCGTAATAGAGATGTTTTTGAAATGATGTAGAGTTTATTTAAGTTCTAACTGTGAACACTTAAATAGCTTCAACGGTTGGAGTTCTCAGTCAGAATTTAGTAAAATAATGCTTAAAGTACAACCATTATTTTACTTTATTGTAATGCTAGTCTAATGCTTTTTTGCAACTAACTTCTTCATTATCAATAATATTGCTACTACACTGCTTCTGTAATGCGATTGGTAATTTCACTAACCTTCACTACCTACCTACAATAGTGCTAATATATGCGTCTCCAATGGAATTAATATAACTTCTGTGAACCTATGTAGGACCTAAAGCCGTATAATTTATGCCCAAGTAAGCATTACAGTGGTCCTACAAATGATTCTAATGCTATTATAGAACTAACTCAGAATGCGAAAATTATTCAGAATTGTTAGAAATCGGCCGTTATACTGCTTTGATGTTTCACTTTGGTACTTACTATCAGAAATATTATGTGCTCAACTGCCATCCATATCCTAATAAAAAAACAACAAAAGGTTAACAATGAACTTACTTTCCGCTTAAGATCTAGATAAAAATAAATTTTTGAAGCGCTGACACCATTATATGCACAAACAACCGAAGTCTAAATCACGCTATAGAAGTATAAAAAGCCAGAACGAAATATTTTACAATTCAGTTACATTTCTAACTTATATCATGTACTTGCGGCGTAGAAAATTAATCACCCCCTTTCGCACCATGGTTGTAATAAGAGGTGACTATAAGAAATGCCAGAACGATCAAATGTGCCCAGTAGATGATGGGAAACTATTTTGTATATTATGTCAAAAATAAGACACCTACGCGGATCGACACAAAGCAGCGTCAAAGGTGCGATACGTCAGGTACAAAGATTGCTAATCCGACAGTCAAGCACAGTGATTACAATTGTCCCCGTATTGGAGGTGAAACATGTTCAGTACTGGATGAAACGGATTGTTGTGGTGACGATGACTCGGTTACAGACATTTTTTTACGTGGTAGAGTCACTAAGTGGCTTTTGCTGTTGGTAGAATTTTTCTTCTTGACCGGTGAAGAAGCTCGGTCTCAAAAATATTTAAATTATACATAAATCATATCATCACTTACTTTTTTAAGTTTCTATCACCGTTATTGCTTTGCCTGGGAATTCCATAGCTGAAAGAAAAAAATCATCATCCAATCAGTAAACGGTGTTTTTTTTTTCAAAAACTATAATTTTGTTTTCATAACCGCTCAATAGTCAAAATATCCATCCCGGCTATGTACCAAATATCTATTGTCATCTGTCATCCATTGCAGCGATTCAATTCCCCCTATTTTCCGCCATTTTGTTTTATAATTTAGTCTAAATTACTATTATCTTTCGCTTTTAGTTATATTTTATTGTATAAACGACATTATATATATGTTCAAAGAAAACACGAAATTAAATAAATTATTTCTCCCCGGCAGTAAATAAAAGCCGCAATGTTTGCAACATATAAGAAATTGCGCCATTTTGAAAGATGCTGTTGAGGCGATAAATGTATACACAAATTATTTGTGGAATCTGCAACTTCCAGCAATTTTTCTGGATCGATACCACTTAGGGACCTTCAAGAAAAGAGCCTGCTCCTTTTTAAAAAGGCGGCAACGTATCTGCGATTCCCCTTTTATTGTAATTGTTCATGGGCGGCGGTGGTTTCATACCATCAGGTGGGCCGCATACTCGTGGTTTGCCTTCCTTTCTACAAAAAAAAAATCTTTCGTTTGTATTGACTTGATTAAGCATTTGGTTGGATTTGCCCTCGTGGTTCTCGCTCGGATATGCCTTATGATATCAGAAGTTACCATCAGACATATCATGACAAACACAATTGCACCATTATTCGTTTACCGACTGCTATGATTACGCAACGCCGCTTTATCAATCCATAAAAACAGAATGCCAGGTTCCTGGGATGCCTTTTGTCACCTAACATCTGAACGTTAAGATATAGCTCAATTATAAGGTTATTAGTAATAAGTCTCTTTACTTCTATATTAAGTATATGTTAAATAAATATCTTTTTTTAGACTCCTCCAATGGGCATCTCGTGATTTTCTTATAAATAATTGTTTCGGATGTTGAAGGTTTTCCGTGTGCAATTTATATTTGTGAAATTCCTTCACGTTTTACGAGATTTTTTTAAAGCCATTTTGTACAAAAATATCGTATCTATTATGCCAAACTAATTAAAAGTCGCATGCTTATTTCGTGCTGAACAAATATGCAAGGAGCGTTGTAAGCCTCTTAACATACGAAAATCCAGGCCTTAATTATAGTTTTTTTTTTATATTGACTAATTATTTCAATAAAGGTAATATTTAATTACTTTATAGTATTAAACAGCTGCAGGCAGATGAAGAACAGATTAGTGAAGAACGATAACAGTATAAGATAGCAGAATCTGGAGTTTATTTCTTTCACGAGGGCCACAAGATGTGAATACAAGACACGCAATTTTTCCCACGACATTGAATTCTGTAATGACACCAAATCAGGATAAAATAATTATTAAGGTTAAAAATTCAAAAATTTTCTATTTAAATATCCAAATTAACTTACGTATTGTTTATTGATGATGCCGTTGAAATCCTGAAAGTATGAAGTTAAATACACGCTTACACACATTATCATTACGTCTGTAATGTCCCAAGCAAATGTCGCCTGTGTATTTGCGATCTGAATAAAGATAATATATTTATTGTTACATAATTTACACATGACCTTGTTAGTCTGGAGAAACCTCAGTTCCACTCCTATCATTTTGAATAAAACTGGTAATTACAGTTTTAAGTATTGACATATTCTTGTGACGGTGAAGGTAAACATCGCAAAACCTTATTTCCATATGAAAACAAAAACAGTTCGTTTAATCTTCATGCGCAGTTTAATTAGAACTTAATATGTTTATTAATGCTTATTACCGTAATATATTTAATGTTATTGTTACTATTTTAAAAGTATTTTTATTAACTAAAACTAATTTTAAGGTTTAATTTTAACTTTTTTAATTCACGACGTTGACGTTCGCTCGTTTTTCAGTTCCTGTTAAAGTAACGCTGGACTTTTTTTTAATAATAATAATAATAGTTTATTTCTCTTGGTATTTACAATTTGCATAGGGTAGGGAGCATCTTTTAAGTATCTTAAGGCACTTGTGTCAGAGACTCCCGTTCTTCCATAGCCAAACAAAACGTCCAAGAGACGTGAGATTACATATTATACATATAAAAGAAAATATAATATTCAAAAATAAATGTGTGTGTGTGTGTGCGTGTCTGTGTTTGTGTGGGTTTTTTTTCTCTCACCCTATGTGTCGAAACATAAGTTTTTCTGTGTCTTCGTAAGACAGGGTCTTTAGCCAATTTATAATCAAAATCTTGCAGTCCTTGGCATTTCTACAGTAAATATTAAGCTTTTTGTTGACAAAATTGTATAGATAGATAGATTGGTTAATGAACTGACGTCTAGCGAATGCAGTTTTAACACAAAATGAATTAAGTACAATGTCTTTTCTTCTTTTGTTCAAAGTATTTGGGTCGTAAATCAGACCTTTATGCTTTTTTAATACTGTGTGCAAAATATATAATTTTCTTATACTTAGTATATCAGTTTTTAAATACAGGCTTTTAGTTGGGAATTTATAAGGCAAAAAGAACATTATCTTTACTAAGGCACGTTGAGCTCTTTCTAATTGCAACTATTTTGTTTTTGTTCCTCCACCCCATATCGGAAGGCAGTAAGTTATTAACGATTGAGCTAATGGAACATAAATTTTGTTAATGAGCGTATCTGAAGTAATATGTCTAAGCGTTTTAAAAATCCAGGCTAATTTTCTAAATCTACATGTTATTACATAGATATGTTCATGCCAAGTTAAACGTTCATCTATAATGATCCCCAAGTACTTGGTTGAAGAAACTTTTGTAATGACAGAACAGTTACAATTTTGAACTTCGTCAATGTTGAAAGTGTGTATCTTTATGTTAAAGTTATTTCCTAGTTGAGATCGGTTTGTAATAGTAAACAAATATAATTAGTTTTAAGTGCATTAAACGTTAGAAAATTAGATTGAAGCCAGCTTGCAATTATAGTAAGGCCAGATTCTGTATTTTTACGAATCTCATCCAATGATGCTCCAGTAAAAACCACAGCTGTGTCATCGGCTTGTTACACGACACCATTAATTTTCAGATTACAAAGATCATTGATATAAATTAGAAACAATTTTGGGCCCAAAATACTACCTTGTGGTACGCCGTAAGTGGTGTATATTTCCTCACTAATAAACTGTCCTACTTTAACTTTTTGTGTACGGTAAAATAAGTAATTCCTAAACAATGTCAATTTCTGATGCCGATGTTTTCTAATTTTTGTAAAAGAATGGGGATAGAGATAGCATTTGTGCCTTTTTAAGGTCTAGAAAAACTGCAAGACATTTTTTACCCTGATCTAAGTTGTTAATTATATACGAGCTAAGAACTAAGATTGCATCTTCTGTGGATTTACCTTGTCTGAATCCATACTGACAGTCAGACAAGATATCGAACTTAGTAAGATAACTTAATAATCTTGTGTTGATAAGTTTTTCTAATATCTTAGAAAGTGAAGTTAGTACTGAAATAGGTCTGTAGTTGCTAACATCACCTCTATCCCCATTCTTACACACTGGTAATTGGCAACGCGTCTATAAGAATATTTCATTTTATTAGTTAACCGATTACGAACAGCTTCCAAAAACAAATTAACGAGCAATAATATTCTAATAAGAAAACACTTAGTTGAATTTTAAAGAAATATCGAATTAATAATTTGAAGGTCTTGGGTTCGATTCCCAGGCCGGACTAGTTTGTCGTTTTCTTAGTAATATTTTCTTAATAAATTCATATAGGGAATTTTTAAGATATAAATTATGTTTCCGGGTTCAGTTCCCCGGTTGAAATCACCTATCCAATAATATTGTTAATTTAAAGGAATATTAAAATAAAGTTAGAGACCAGGATTTGTTCCCCGGTCGAAATGATCACTTTGTGTATAAATAGAATTAATGGAAATTAATTGCATAAGTATTATCTTAATAAGTTTGATACGTTTTGTATGAGAGTGAAATGTTTATTTTCAATGTTGGATTCATAAAATGTTTGTTTGTGTTATCTGATAAGGAACATGATAACTGATAAAAATCTAGCTAGAAATAATTTCCTACAATTTGGGAGTCGTGTAGAATCAGTTGTTCACCTAGTATTGGTTGTGTGTGCTAAATTTGCCACCTTTTACCGACAATTGAGAGTCGTGTAATAATTAGTTGTTCAAATAGCGTGAGTTCATAGCCGCGCGTTAACCTTGTACTTAGGAGGTCAAAATAAGTAGAAATTTAAATATTTCCAAATTTCAGCAATTTATGTAAAATTGACTTATAAAATATTTCAGATAGATTGTATGAGCAAAATAGGTGAATTCTGTGTTATTTTCATGTGAAAATTCCTTTGGATTAGTGAAATATTGATAGTTTTGTGTAAGAAATTTAAAAGTGTTTATATAGTAAAATGTATAGGAAAAATGTAAATTAAACTATTGTATTAGTTAAGATATTTACGTTTTCAAATGAATAACATTGTTTCAATCTTATATGTTAGATATTTAGGAATTCTAACTTAGTACATATGTTGCAAAATAGGCATATTTTTTGAATTTTATTTATGTATAAATGTATGCCTTACACAAATAAAGATATTGGGCAAACCGTGAGAGAGTGATAGTACAAATTGATGTAATTAGGTAGCGTAATCGCACAGAGGGCGCGGCTCTCTTTCGCGTATAGCTTGGTGATACCTCAGTAAACTGGTTTTCATACAAATCGTTCGGGACCAGCTACCAGTATATAATATAATCAAGAAAGAAAAGTGTATAGGGAAGTGATAGGGAAAGTAATTACTCTCACGGAACGGTTTGAAGATAATTACTCCTTTATTCCCAAGGAATCCTTCACCTTTAAAATAAGTACAGTTCATTGGTGTCGATAGCGCGGCATATATTGAAGAATTAAGGCGTTGGGACCGGGACGACCTCGCAAGACCCGTAATCCCCGCCTGAACCTATTTGAAGAAAAGGAAGAGGTCGACGCCCTTGTGTGTTACTCCGTTGCGGGGTTCACATACGTTGTTCCCGAAACCAACGTAGGTGTCATAGGAGGGTAGGAAATCCGCTGCTGAACGAGCCGTGACAAGAACGACCCTCGTTCCTGTCCTTTTTAATTGCTCCTTGGCAGCTGGATCAAGTAGCAAGCGACCCCTCGTTGCCGTTTCTTTTTTTTAAGTGGTCCTTCGAGCCGGATTTAAGGAACCAGCTGTGAACTGCTGGATACCATTCAAGAGGACCTTCGGAGCCGAGTGAAGATCAGCGACCGAAGGAAGCCGGAGGTTTGAGCTGAAGCAACGGGACCAAAGGCAAGAAGACCAGGCCAGCTCAGGAGGCCCATCAGGGCTTAAGCAGGACCGGACCTGGAATACTGGTAGCTACCGGAAGAAAGAAAACCGGGGTTGCGGCTTGGGGCGTGTGCTCACATGGGGCACGTATCGTAGTCAAGCGCAAGTGCCTTTTGAAGGCGCTCATCGTGGCCAAGCAGGGCTTGGCATTTTTTCCTGTCGGGCAAGCGTGCTTGGCATTTTCCACTGGACGGCCATAGTTGGCATTTCCTGTCGGACGACCGTGTCCGGCATTTCCTGTCGGGTCATCAGGCTCGGCATTTCCTCTATGGGATTGTGTTTTCATTTCCTGTAGCGCTCAAAGGCGTTTGGTGTTTGCTGTTACCAACGCGGAAGTGCTCACAGTTGCCAGGCAAGGGTGCAAGAAAGAAGAGGACGCACTCACTGTTACCAGGCAAGGGTGCAAGAAAGAAGAAGAAGCATCCACCGCTGCTGCTGCCAGGCGAGGGTGCTCGGCACCTGACTGCATCGCGGCCGGAGGACAGCGCCTGGACGAGGCATCACCGGCGACTGGGCATACATCCCGACCCCCTAACGGTACCAAACCGGTCGGGCTCTGGCACAACACCTTCGTGTGGAGCAGTTCTCTCGGGCGAGACTGCGCTTGCACTACTGGCTCGACTGTTTCGCCATATTCCTTGGCGGGACAGTTCCTAAACCTTTCCTCCATTCCATTCCCGCACGACTCCATCCCTGGACGGCTCACCACGGTAGGCCCCCGTCCAGGATTGATAGGGCTGATAGGGATGTTAGGGTGGTAGTAGGGTTGTAGGGTTGGGAGATAAAGTGGGAGAGGGGTAGTGGGGTTAGGTTGGGGTGTAGAAGGGTTATAGGTAAGGGGTTGTAGGGACCGTAGGGACCGTAGGGACAGTTAGGGAGCGTAGGCCAACAATCACCTTCCTGCAAGATGAAGAAGGCACAAGACCAGACAGAGAGGAGCGAAGGAACCAGGACAAGAACAGGGCTCTCAAGAAAGGTTAAAGAGGCGGAATCATCTGGAGCGACCACAGCTACTGCTTCGAGTGGGGCAACTCCTTCAAGTGGAGCCACCACCGATACGTCCACATGCACGTGGGACTCAGAGGCGTCCGTGGCAATGACGCAACAGGACGGACACCAGTGGTACGCAGACCAGCGCCGCACAGAAATCCGTTATATCCAGGAGTGAAACGATAGTCGAAAAAGTAGGTCAAG